TGTAAATTAAAAAGAGTATAGGGCCAAGGATTGAACCTTGAGGAACCCCTGAGGTTACAGAATAAGAAGAAGAGTGCTGTCCATCAAGGGCAACTTTTATACTACGATTGGCAAGGAAGGATTCAATAATCTTAAAAATGGTAGAGTGAAGTGGTGCTAAACGAAAGCACATAAAAGAGTAGTCTGTGGATTCAAACCTAGTTTCCTGACAAATGGGTGAATTCTTACAAATGTAAATGACCAGGCCAAGCATGTGACTATTGGAGTCTTAACGAATTAAAGTAAGATAACTATCAACATTAAGATCAAAGGATGAGACAGCTGAACTCAAATTATCTCACAAAGAGCAAGTAGGTCTGTTGAACATTGCAAGAGATAAGACTCAACAGAAGAAAAGTTACTTCATGACCAAGAATATTAGTGAGTGATAGGTTTAGCGAACTTGGTGATGACAATGGTTTTTTGTGTTTTGTTACTTTATTCATTTTTAAATTTGTTATAGAACTTGACTCAAAACATAGATAGTACTCAGTACTCTATTTTATAGCCTAAGCAATTGCCTCATTACTATTAATAAACCCTAAGCTGTAACACGGGGTTTCAATGTGGCCTTGGCAATGCACACCAAAAGTACAAACAGGGGCACCATCCATGTACAACATGGCACTGTATATATATATATATATATATATATATATATATATATATATATATATATATATATATATATATATATATATATATATTATAGTCTTGCATGGTAGTCACAAAGTTTTTCCCATAAACTGTTATTTTAAAGAGCGCGTTAATAAGCCTGACCAGAAAATGTTAAAAAAATTCAAATTTTTATTTTTATTTTAAATGATAGACTGCCTGCCCAAACCAAACCCTCAGTCGATGTAGCTGCAATCCCTATCGAGTCAGGCTATTTGTCAGTCGATGTAACAGCACTCCTTTGCGAGTCAGGCTATTTGTCAGTCGATGTAGCAGCACTCCCTTGCGATTCAGGCTGTTTGTCAGTCGATGTAGCAACACTTACACATGTTTTTAAAATGTTTTTCAATAAAACAAAAATAAAAACACCACTAATTAAATAAATCTTTCTAGTCATTATTATTGCGGTTTTTTTAAAAAGCAATAAAATTTAATGTACTTCCGCATTAATTTAATTGCTTTGACATTTCAAAGACAATAAAATGCAGCTTAAGAGACGAGGTAAAAAATTTGCAGTCGAAAGATACTTTTTTTACCATAAAAGTCTCTTTCGACGACACTATAAGAATATATATATATATATATATATATATATATATATATATATATATATATATATATATATATATATGTATTCATATATATATATACATATAGATGAATATATATATATATATATATGAATATATATATATATATATATATATATATATATATATATACATATATATATATATATATATAACCTATATCATTAATTGATTATATATATATACATACATATATATATATATATATACATATATATATATATATATATACATATATATATATATATATAAATATATATATATATATATATATATGTTTTACATATATAAATATATATATATATATATATATATATATATATATATATATATATATATATATATATATATATATATATATATATGTATAATCTTTGAAAGTCATTTTCTTGTTATTCATTAAAATATGGGTAAAGTTCAATTAATACAGCTTCTTATAAACTTTTTTAAATATATATTTTTTTTCTTTAATATATAATTATTTCCATATTTCGCTTATCTATTGTGATCAGCGTCATCAGGTATAATAAATAAAATAGTTAAAATTTCTGAAATTAATTAATGAATTATTAAAATTTCTTAAATTATTGTTTCAGAAATTATTTAATGAATTAAATATATTTCTTCAGACAAAAGTAAGATTACACGATTATGAGTTAGTTAATAGTATAACCAACAAATCAAAAAATTACTATTACATTAAAAAAAATAGGAAATGAAAGAAAAATATTATAAATTACAAATTACACTAATTATAAAAAATACTTTTGATCCTCTCAATCAAGTTATTAAACCTGCTATACTCAATTTAACTAATGTTACACTGGATGAATCAACAACTGAGCTACTCAATTTAGGTCCAAATTTTGTACCACTGCAGAAAAAATTCCTTATATGGATATTATAACTAATATCGAGACTTGTGCTTTACAACTCGAAAAACTTAAAAACCAACACAGGCAAAAACTCTACGACAAAACTGTTCAAAAATTTTAACAAATTTGCTAAAATTAAGTTTAAAAGATAATTTTCCTAAGCAACAACGTCTTTCCATAAACAAATCAAAAAACAATTCTAATATTAAGATATACCCCTTGGATAAAGGTTTCGCATTATCAAACCAAAAAGATGCATCTCTAAAATTAGAAGAACAAATAAAAAATAGCAAAATTATTGATTATGATCCAACATCCACATTGACTACTAAATTTCAAAGACAATTGTGCAAATTAAGAAAAAAAGGTAAGCTAGGCACAAATACATACTTTAAATGTATCCATCAGATTGTAACCCACCAAGGATTTACGGAATGATTAAAGCTCACAAACCAGATTAAAGCTCACAAACCTGTTGTATCAACAATTAACACACCACCTTATGGAACATCTGATTATCTTATTGAAATTATTTAACTGACTCTGAGCAAAAATAAAAGTAGACTTATGAATTCTAATAGTTTTGTAAATGAAGCTAAGCAATGAATAATAGATCCTAACGAAATTCAATTTTCATTTGATAAAGTCAATTTATATCCATCTATACCCATTGACGAAGCGATTCCGGTTATTATTGATATATTAAGCGCTGACATTAATGACTTAAAAACTTGAACTAAACTTACTCTTGCAGACATACACCAATTGTTTGAACTTTCGTTAAGTATATGCTATTTCGTGAAGTATATGCTATTTTTTATATGAAAACATCATCCAAATAATACCTAATTCAGGTCCTATAGGTTTATCTTCAATGGTTGTTATGGCGGAAGCATTTTTACAAAATATAGAAAGAAAGGCCCTTAACATTGCAATTATTAATACATCCGAACCGAAAACTTACAAGAGATGTGTAGATAATTGTCATGCTCGCTTCGCTTCAATAAAACAACATTAAATGTTCCTGAACATCCTACACAGTGAGCCTTGAAAACGACCTCAAACAACTCAATTTCTTAGATATTAATTTTACAAACACAGGCTCTGGAGCTTATAAATTTCAAATACATAGAAAGAAGCTATTACAAATGTTCAACCTAAACCTAACTCGAACATTAATCCTAACATTATTATTGGCGTTTTCAAAGGATTTTTATGTCGTGCAAAAAGAATATGCTCTCAAAAACACCTTCAAAAAGAAATTGATTTTCTAATAGACATATTTGTTAAAAATAGCCACGAAAAGAACATTCTAAATAGTATTACTTTAGAATATATAAAAAACAGTTCAAAAAATACCACATTTTAACCATTAGATGCCCAACATATAAAACTACCTTGGATACTAATTGTTGGTCCAAAACTTCGTAAAGAATTTCGAAAGCAAAACATAAAAGTTATTTTCACATCAACTACCAATTAAAAAATATTTTTTTCAAAAGTAAAATTAAACTACCACTAAACACAGACCCTGGCGTATACCAGCTAAAATGTTCATGTGGTTCGATATACATTGGTGAAGCTAAAAAAAAGGTGATATTGAGATGTATTGAACACCAGAAAAACAGCTTAAAAGAAAAATTGTCCAGTTCTAGTGCAACTGAACATTCCAAAACATGCTATGGTAAGTTTTATTGGTTACACCCCAAGACATTATCTGTAGCCCCAGAATATCGAACTCAGAAAATCAGAGAGTCACTCGAAATAAGCAAAGCTAGGGTTGGACAGGAGTTGAGAAATGGTGATGTGGTTCTCAATCGGGATGACGGTGATAACGTGACAACTAAAACCTGGGGGCCATTTTTTGATAAAATCTGCTAACGTCAGTTATTTGAAAAGTTTTTTTGTCTTTTTTTTGTATTATATTTTGGCTTTTTAGTGTTATCTTTTTAACGGTTTGTTTTTACAATAACAATTTCTTAGTAACTATTTTATTTATTATACCTGATGACGCTGATCACAATAGATCAGCAAAATATCGAAATAATGATGTATTAAAGAAAAATTATATATATATTTAAAAAAGTTTATACACAGCCGTATTTATTGAATTCTACCCATTTTCTAATTCGGTACACCCCTAGAATTTACGCAGTTTACAAGTTAGCACAAAGCTCGACATCGTTTTCATCAATTGCTCGAAATTTTTATAATATTTTATCACACCAAGCATTTAATATTATGCTAAACTAAAAGTTGAGTTAGCCATAAGGTCTATTGCAACGTTTTAATATAAATGATAAAATCTGCCTACTTAATTCAAAAAAATGTAATGCTTTTGCATCTTTTAAAATATGAATTAACTAAAAAAAATGATGTATTTTATTAACCTACTTGTGTGTTCAACTTCAATTTTGTTTTTTGAAAAAAATAAAAAATTCAGATAATAAGGTTTATATACAAAATATTGAACTTTTTCACAATTTTGGAACAACTAAAATGATTAAAGAATAAATTCACATAAATGAATTATAGATATCGTTTTTTACTGGACAAGTGCCGGATAATTTTGAGCTCTTCATATGTAAAATTGTAAATATTTTTTGAAGTATTATATAATTAGTTCATATTTTTGAAAAGTTTTGAATTAAAATGATTGTTTCTAAGCTTGTATTCATAGTACAAATTATTAGTTTACATTATTTTATTGTATTACTTTTAATTTTTTATTTCTCATAATTATAGAAATCAGATGTGTTTTTTTAATTTAGTTATATGTTTATTAATGTTTTTTATAATAAGTTTCTTTCTGATTTTTTAGATTCAACTTCAGTGTACCTGATGAACTGTAGTGAAAACAGGCAAATATGTTTGAAATATAGCATTACAGGCTATCCAACAATGATATTATTTCGGGTATTAACATTGAATTCACATTCACCTTGCTTTGAAAATAATTATCAATCAGAAGTCACTAGTGTTGATTATCATGGAGATGTTGAGGTAATATTGGTATTATGAATTAAAAAGAAAAAAAATGTAATATTAGTTATATGTATTTTTTTATATATTTATATTTTACTACACTATACAAAATTTATACCATTCACAATATTTATCTTAAAGATGAAATTTTGCATATCTAATTACAAATGTTATGATAAATAAATGACAGGGTTTTAAACAACAATATTGCGATATTTTATACATATATATATATATATATATATATATATATATATCAGGCTTTCCCAGGTAAGGCGTGCGGTCGCACGCCTTGTTTGTCCACGCATATAAGAAGTTTTTCAGAAAACGTGACCGCGGCATTATTTCGTGGGAAAGTGGAAATTATCCACAAAGAATAAAAAGTAATTTTAAAAAAAGTCTAAACAAAGTATAAAATTGAAATTGGATGTAAGAAAAATATTTTAATAATAAAAAAAAATATTAAAAAAAAAATATTTCTTGTAACAAAAAAAAAAATGATAAAAGTCATTGATAAACAAATTTTACATTAAAAGGTTTTTTTATTTTCTTTAAACATTATTCTTTTTCTTTTTGATTTGATTTTTCTTATTGATTTGATTTTTCATAGCTAAAATAACTAACACCCTAAAAAAATAAATAAATAAAATATAGGTAAACTTTTTTTAATTTTAAAGCACAAACAGATTTCTGTTATTTACTTTAAGGTTGCTTGCATTTTTGCGGTATTTTTGTTTAGCTATGTTTTGGCGCGAATTCTTGTAAAGCATAGTAATAAAATGTGGTCAGTTAGTCAGAAAAATTTATTCTATGTGTGGACAAACAAGGCGTGCGACCGCACGCCTTTCCTGGGAAAGCCTGATTTGTTTTATGATAAAACTTTTTTACTATAAAACAATTTTATAGTAAAACTTAATTCCTGATATACAAATAAGTATCTATAAGTCCTGATATACAAATACACATATATTTTATTAAAAATATTTATTTAGTTCAAGCCAATCATGTCATGGTTATCAAAGATGAGCCAGGAAAATCTTAATTTAGTAGCAGGAAAGCACAACATACCAGTTGAATTAGTAAGTTTTGTTAAGTCTTATATCTAATTTTATTTTTTAAAATTTATAGTTCTGTTTTTATTATATAATAATTTTTTTTTTGTTGTTTTAAGGTTTTTATAACCAACTTTTAATTTTTATTGTTTCAGGTGAAAGATGTTCGATTAATTGCCCAGTTTTACACAAAAAAATACATACTAAAATATATTCCTCGTTCTTTACATGGTAGGCTTATGCCTTTTAAGTGTTTTATGGATTTATGTGAACTTCTTTTTAACCAAGTTGAATGCTTTGGTACACAAGCAAATGATGTGGAGTTTAGCAATAAAAAAAAAGAATTATTTTTGGAATCTGTTAGTGTATTTTAATTTTAATATAACCTAGATTTTTTTAATAGTTAATAATTTAGAAAACTACATTTTTATGTTTTATGCAAAAATGAAGACTAGAAGGCCTCCTGGGCAAAGACTTAGGGGGTAAATATATTCTATCTGTTGACCACCCCTTCTTCATCCATTAGGCTGGCGCAGATGTGTTTTCAATACATTGATTCCAGTTTAGGATGTTGAGCGCTGGATTTTCTTGACTCGATGTGTGGGTTTTGCTTGTGTTTCTGTTTTTATGACTAGGCAACTTATTCTATTATCTCCAAATGAGGGTACAGCTCTAAAACTGAGTTTTATGGTTCTAAGGCCAGCTGGTAGTCAGGTTTCTCGAACTCTGTGGTAGCTCTCAGAGAGGCTGATTCCATCAACAGCTAAAAAATATCAAAGTACTAACAGTGCCATGTTGTGCACGGGTGGTGTCCCTGTTTGTACTTTTGGTGTGCATTGCCAAGGCCACATTGGAGCCCTTTGTTACGGCTAAGGGTTTATTAGTAGTAATGAGGCAATTGCTTGGGCTATAAAACAGTGTACTTAGTACTATCTATGTTTTGAGTCAAGTTTTATAACAAATTTAAAAATGAATAAAGTAACAAAAACTATAAAACACAAAAAACCACAGTCGTCACCAAGTTTGCTAAACCTATCATTCACTAATATTTGTGGCCTTCGAAGTAATTTTCTTCTGTTGAGCCTTATCTCTTGCAAAGTTCGCCAGACCTACTTGCTCTTTGTGAGATAATTTGAGTTCGGCTGTCTCATCTTGTGATCTTAGTGTTGATGGTTAACTTCCTTTAATTCATAAAGACTCCAATAGCCACATGCTTGGCCTGGGCATTTACATTCATAAGAATTCACCCATTTGTCGGGAAACTAGGTTTGAATCCACAGACTACTCTTTTATGTGCTTTCGTTTAGCACCACTTCACTATATCACCTTTCTCTTCGTTCTATATCGCTCTCCTTCATCTCAAGTCTGCACTCTTCTTGATGTTATTTCTGATCATATTGACCATGCCCTCTATGTTATCCATCAACCAATATTGTTGTTGTTGTTGACTTTAATGTTCATCACACTGAATGGCTTGGCTCTAGTATCAGTGACTCTGCAAGCATTAAAGCCCACAACTTTTCTTTTCTCAATCCCTAACTCAAATAGTCAACTTTTCAACTCGCTTTCCAGACAACCCGAATCATTTACCTTCTCTACTCGACTTATGTCTTGTTTCTGATCCTAGTTAGTGCTCATTTTCCCCACATTCACTCTTAGGTGCTTCTGATCACAGTTTGATCTCTCTAAAACTATTATCTCATTCTTCTTTATCATCAGAATCCCCCTATCATCATACATCTTACAACTACCTTAAAGCTGACTGGGACTCTTTCTGTGATTTTCTTCGTGATGGCCCTTGGGTAGAAATCTTTCTTTCTGTTGAGAAATGTGCCTTTTACATAACTTCGTGGATTCAGGCTGGCATGGAATCCTTTATTCCCTCTTTACAATTCCAGGTCAAGGCTCACTCTTCTCCATAGTTTTCCTCACATTGCGCTGCTGCAATTGCCAATCGAAACCATTACTTCCATATCTATCAGCAAAACAATTCTCCAGAAAACAGACGTCTGTTTATTACTGCTAGCAACCATTGTAAAAAGGTTTTGTCTAACGCCAAAGCCCGCTATTCTCAGATCATGAAATCTCTTATTTTATAACAAAAATTAGGCTCTTCTGACTTCTGGAAGATCTTTAATAGTATCAATAATAGGGGCAAGTCTGTAATTCCACCTCTTATGTACGGTTCAGACTTTGTCACCTCACCTAAAGACAAAGCTGATTTGTTTGCTAAGAACTTTTCATCAATATCATCTCTTGATTCCACTAGTTGCGCTCTACCTGATATAGCCGTCAAACAGTTTGATCCACTGCTCGATATCCATATCACTCCAGCTTCTGTATCTAAAGTGATTTCCTGCTTAGACTCTTCTACAGCTTGCGACCCGGACAACATACCTGTTATAGTCTTGCAGAAGTGTTTTCCAGAACTGTCATCTATCCTTTCAAAACTTTTCAACAAGTGCTTATCAGAGTCTTGTTTTCCAGCCAGCTGGAAAGCAACATCTGTTATCCCTATTTTTAAAAATTCTGGAGAACGATTTGATTTGTCTAACTACCGTCCCATTAGTCTTCTTCCTATCATAAGCTAGGTTTTTGAATCTTTAATTAACAAACACTTAATTTCTTATCTTGTATCTAATAACTTACTTTCTGATCATCAATATGGATTTCGATCTTCTTGTTCTACGGCTGATTTGCTAACAGTAATAACCGATAGGTTTTATTGTGCATTAGATAAAGGTGGAGAAGTTAAGGCCATCGCTCTTGATATTTCTAAAGCGTTTGATAAAGTTTGGCATGCTGGTCTTCTCCATAAGCTTTCTTCTTACGATGTATCTGGAAACATCTTTAAGATTATTGAATCCTTTCTTTCCAATCGTAGTATAAAAATTGTCCTTGATGGACAGCACTCTTCTTCTTATTCTGTAACCTCAGGGGTTCCTCAAGGTTCAATCCTTGGCCCTATACTCTTTTTAATTTACATTAATTAATTAACTATCTTCCAGATATTCTCACATCTAAGGTGGCATTGTTCGCTGATGATACTACCATTTATTCTTGTCACAATAAGAAGCTAACTTCCTCTGATTTCTTGCAGGGGGCATTTGAGCTTGAAAAGGATCTCACTTCTGCTACAGCATGGGGATCACAGTGGCTGGTGAACTTTAATTCAGATAAGACTCAATTTTTTTCAGCCAATCGTTATTGTAATAATTTAGACCTTTCTATATTTATGAATGGTAATGTGCTCAATTAGTCGTCTACCCTTCATCTTCTAGGATTAACTCTTACTTCTGATCTTTCTTGGAAACCTTATTTCAAATCCGTTGCAAAATTAGCATCTGCTAAAGTTGCATCTCTTTATCGAGCTCAACACTTTCTTACTCTGGATTCTATTCTCTATCTCTATAAATCTCAAATCCAGCCTTGCATGGAATACTGTTGCCATATCTGGGGCAGATCTTCTAATGATGCCCTTTCTCTTTTAGACAAGGTGCAAAAGCGCATTGTAAACATAGTTGAAAATGCTCTTGAAGCCAACCTTCAACCTTTGTCACATCGTTGTAATGTTGCTTTTCTTTCTCTTTTCTACAAATGCTATAATGGGCACTGCTCTAAAGAGCTAGCGTCTCTTGTGCCATTTACTCAAATTCTTTCTCGTGTTTCTTGTCATTCAATTAAGTCTCATCCTTTTTCTGTTACTGTTCCTAAGTGAAAAACTCTTATTCGTCTAGTTTTTTTCCTCGAACTTCAGTTCTTCGGAATTCACTTCCTTCATCTTGCTTTCCTGTTTCATATAATTTGTAATCTTTTAAGTCGTCTGTCAATTGTTATTTTGCTCTACAATCTTCATCTTTTCTTATCCAGTAACTTCCAACACTAATCAGTGGGTTGCTTGCAGCCTTGTTGGAAGCAAAGATGTTTAAAAAAAAAAAAATATATATATATATATATATTTATATATATATATATACATATATATACATACATTTATATATATATATATATATATATATATATATATATATATATATATGTATATATATATATATATATATATGTATATATATATATATATATATATATATATATATATATATATATGTATATATATACATTTATATATATATATATATATATATATATATATATATATTTGTATATATATATATATATATGTATATATATACAAATAATTAAACATAGGTTTATATACATATACATCTATATATATATATATATATATATATATATATATATATATATATATATATATATATATATATATATATATATATATATATATATATATATATATATATATATATATGTATGTATATCTATATGTATATATATATATATATATATATATATATATATATATATGTATATATATATATATATATGTATATATATATATATGTATATATATATATATATATATATATATATATATATATAATGCCTTTATTTAATAGCTATATCAGCTATATTAGTCAATATATTTCATGTTAATTAGAATGTTACAAAAAGACACAGGTCATTGCAATTAGTGATTAATAAAACACAATAACCTAAATAAGATAAAAGACCAAAATAATAATATTAGAAATATATTAAACACATAATTAAAGTAGAAATTTGCAAAACTTTATTTACCAACACCCGTAAAACAGACTTTTAAAAGTGGTAAGATATAGTTAAAATAATTACTATAATGTTTTCATATACAGTATTGGCCAAAAGTTTGAATCCACCTCAAATTTTCGGCAAAAACTGAAAATTTTTTGCATTGTTTATTTGTAATTTGTTTATTTTGTTATACTATTGATTGGTTGTTAGAAAAATTGCTTGACTCATACTTTTAATCTATTTGTGCTGTATAATTTGTGTTTTTGTGTATTTCTAGTGAATTTATTGATAATTTTTACAATGGTTCGTGATAATGAATTGTCCATTGTAAAACATGCTCAAGTTTGTTTGCTATTTGATGAAGGTCACAGTCAGCGGCAAATTGCAAGTAAATTAAGTGTGTCTCATGGTGCTGTCCAAAAGTGTATTAGCCGTTTCCTTGATTCTAACACTTCTAATTACCTTTCAAGAAGGAGAAGTGGAAGACCAAAGGTAACTTCCATGCGCACGGACACTGTAATTGTAAGGTGTGCCAAGCTCTCTCCCTTGTCTTCTTCTGCCAGGATTCAATCATTATTACCATCTGAAGATATTGTCAGTACCCGAACGATTAGAAGGAGACTACTTTTTGCTGGGCTGAAGTCAAGGTGACCTGCAAAAAAGCCACTGTTGTCTCGAAAAAGCATACAAGACCGGTTGGCATTTTGTCGCAAATACCGCAATTTCTCATCCGATGACTGGGAGAATGTCATGTTTTCGGATGAGTCTACTTTCAATCAATTTTACACTTTCCAACGACACGTTCGTTGTCCAGATGGGAAGAGGAACGATGCAAAATACTGCATTGCTACATTAAAGCAATGTGCAAAGGTGATGGTGTGGAGTTCCTTTTCCGGTAAACACGGACAAGGAGATTTGTGGTTCATGCCACATGGGAAAACAATCAATGCTGAGACCTACTGTAGAATACTGCAGGAGAAGTTGGTCAATCTTATGCAGATTCACCAGGTGGATCACTTTCAGCATGATGGTGCTCCTTGCCATAGGGCAAGATCAGTGTCAAAGTGGCTAGCGGATAATCATATTTCCGTAATAGGACCATGGCCAGGGTCATCACCTGATTTAAACCACATAGAAAATCTGTAGGTAATTATGAAAAAAAAGGTGGCCGCTCACAATCCAACATCACAAGAACATCTGAAAAGAATAGTTCAGGAAGTGTGGGCAATGGAAACTACTGTGGAGTACTGTCAGAAGTTGGTGTGTTCCATGCCTTCTCGTATAGCACAGGTGCTAGCTGCAAAGGGATACCATACTAAATACTGATAATTTTGTAATAATTAATAATGTAACAATACATAACAATGTTTTTGATAATCTACAACAGTTGTGTAACATTTTAGTAACGATAAGTTTATGGAGTGAGCATAAGGCAATTTTATGTTAAAAATTTGAGGTGGATTTAAACTTTTAGCCAATACTGTATATACATGCACAAATAAAAAATGGTAAGATGTACATATACACAAAAAAATGTTTTAGAGGTAAAGTGAATGAAGTTAAGTGTAACTATTTGGTAGAAATATGGAGTGACCTTAAGAACAGACTTCTGGACCTAAGGATATAGTTTGATTTTAAGGTGTTTGGAAGGATGTTCCAAGAAAGGATACACTGGTATGTAATGGAATTAATTCCATGTTTAGCTGTCTGTTTTAGTGAGATAGTCATGTTGTTATAAGTGACTGATCTTAGATTATGCCCATATGTTGTTATTAAAGTAGTTATGAAATACGGAAGGAAGGAAACCATGTTGTTGATCCCAGGCGAATGAACAATTTAAGAACTCATAGAAGAAAATTTAAAGTCATAGAAACAAAGAATTTTGATTGATAGATACAAGATACGAATAAATGGATTAATTTGGATGTAAGATTTTTAAGTATGGCACTATCAGTGACCTTATGATCGTTATTGTCCAGACTTATTTATTATGCTGACCATGAAATTATAAAATTGTTATTGATAATAATAATTTTAAAACCAATGAATTTTTTTTTTTTACAACTTTTGGTATTGTATTTAAAAAAAATGAAACCATAATGTCTATATATTAAAAGATGTATTTAAATTTAATGTACAAAAATATTTTGCATGTGTTATTGCTTGCATGTGTTATTGTTTGTATGTGTTATTGCTTGCATATGTTATTGCTTACATGTGTTATTTCTTACATGTTTTATTGCTTACATGTGTTATTGTTTACATGTGTTATTGCTTACATGTATTATTGCTTACATGTGTTATTGCTTACATGTGTTATTGTTTACATGTGTTATTGCTTACATGTATTATTGCTTACATGTGTTATTGCTTACATGTGTTATTGTTTACATGCGTTATTGCTTACATGTATTATTGCTTACATGTGTTACTGCTTACATGTGTTATTGCTTACATGTGTTATTGCTTACATGTGTTATTGCTTACATGTGTTATTGTTTACATTTGTTATTGCTTACATGCGTTATTGCTTAAATGTTTTATTGCTTACATGCGTTATTGCTTACATGTGTTATTGTTTACATGTGTTATTGCTTACATGTGTTATTGCTTACATGTGTTATTGTTTACATGTGTTATTGCTTACATGTTTTATTGGTTTATAAGTTAATATCTTTCTAATGTTTAGCTATTTTTCACAAGAAAGGATGGACTCAATGTTACAATATTTCAAACTGGCCTCCCCATGAAACACTCTTTAGATGCTGACCATTTTGGTAAAGGCATTCCTTTTCATGTCACACACAAGTACGTAATATCTTTACAAATTATATTAAATCTTTTTCTATGTTGTTCTTTGATACAAAGGTTTGAAATGAATAGAAATTATAAATAAATAATGAATAATATGTAAATAAGAAATAAGGACAACCTAATTTTATTTTTTTGTTCATTTAAAAATATTTTTGCTGCTACTATCATTCTACTGATCAGTTCATTAATACCTCAATCATCAATTTATTGATATCTCAATCATCAATTCATTTATACCTCAGTCATCAGTTCATTGATATCAATTTATTAATACTTTAATCATCAATATATTAATACGTCAATCATCAATATAATAATAATACCTCAATAAACATAGCTTATAGCTGTTTATATACTGTTTGAGGTTAGCTTTTTTAGTCAAGCTAAATTATACTCGAGTTCTTAACATTTTCACTAATTATGAGAGCTATGGATTCTATTTGAAAAAAGTGTTTTCACTGTAGCTACGATTTTTTTGGTTGTATTTCTTTTTGTAGATTACTTGTGTAGTACAATTTGTTTTTAATTAAATTCAACTTGATCTACAGATGATCAAAAGCTGTTGACTATGTTTATCCATTATTTTGACTATATATTGTAGCATAATCTGTTTTGTTCTAATTTAATTTGCCATTTTGTTTCTTGTTTAATATTCTTCTTCTCAACTTGTACTAGAGAAACTTGTTTCTCAGTTTTCTTTGTTTGTCAATTTTTCTTTGTTTGTTAAAGTTTGTGTTTTGAACTTCAAAGGTTTTGAGAGCATTGTAACAGCAATTTGAAAAAAAAAAGTGGTTTCCTTACTGTAGTATCCGTCTTGGTCCTTGGGAAGGTGAATAAATAAAAAATCTTTAAAGAAGTAAACAATGTATAACTTTTGTGTTCATTAAAATGTTTAATCTTTTTTTTCCTTTGTCCTATTTTGATTCACTTCATTTTATCAAACAATAAACTGAATTGAATATCAATTCAATCCAGTTTGTTATCTTGGTATACATGGAAACTGAAGAAAGCATTAAAAGTAATAAGTCATAAACTAAAATTCATCATAACTACCATCTTAAATGAAAAGCAGAAATTCACTTGAAAAGTCAAAAGTCTATTGATCATTTTGAAAAACATATTAGAGATAAAACAATGTGATGGAATTTTATGATTTCATTTAGGAATTTTTTTGCATCAAATCAAAATTGATATAATTTTTTATTTTATAAATTGATTGTTAACATTAAATTTTCTTAGCCTGAAGAAATTTATAGTTAAACATTGTTTTTATATTATAAATTATATTTTGGATAAATTTAGATTATAATTGAATACATATATGGTTCGTTAATTTCAGTATTTTTTGTTTGCAACTATTTCAGGTTCCTATCAAAAGTTGTTCAAAAATAGGAACTCAAGCCTCTTTGATGCATTCATTTCAATTGCTTGCCATTACAAAATGTTAAAATGGTTATTTGCATCTTGTTGAAGAAAAAAACTGAGAAAAACACATACAAGCTCATTACTTATTCTAAAAATTACAGTTTGTTAAATATCCTTGAATAAGTTTGTTGAGGATTGTTCAAGAAGTTATAAAAGAAATCAAGAAAATATTTTACTTCACTAACATGACTCGATCTGCCCCACAGCAAAATACTTTCATTTTACTCTTGATTTCCCCCTTTAATGTTATTCTTATTCTCCAAAGTATTTTCATTTTTTTACTTTTTACAATCCAACAATAATCAGCAGTGGTAAGGTCAAGAAAAGTTCCGTTCGAGGTTCGAGGCATTCAAAAAGAAGGGAGTTGATATACCAAGGTTGATTTAAATATATTTGGAATAGAATTGTTTTGATATTATTGTGGTCAAGACAATGGTGCTATATTGGCAGGTTTTACAATGGCATTCAAGCTTTGATTAAGCAAAATTATTTGCAAGCATTTTTTGTTCCTTTCTCTGCCTAGAGTTTAAACTTGTATAATGTACATGCTATTGGATCATTGGCTCTTGAAAAATCCTACTTGTGATGTATTTGAAAGTTATATAATCTGTTCAGATACAGCTTAGTTTATTAAAAAATTCTTCAGAATGAGATAGTACTGTTATCACATATGTCTTTTGTTACGCAAAGAAGCTCAAGAATTGAAGCAGTCAAGCTTCAATCAGGGACAGATACAGACCATATAATAAGGAAAGAGGTTATTTTTCAGGTTTTAGACCATCTAGTAAGTTGGGGGGGGGGAGAGATTTTTATGGGGCAAAGATTCTTACAATTTTATCAAAATTAAATATCATTTTCATAAACAGCCCGACTCCTTTACTTTCTTTATTTTCAAACAACATGCTGTGTTAAAGATAGAGAAATACAAAAAAATTATTCAAAAAATCTAGAGGAAAAGAGGGGGTGATTGCCCCTCTTTCCCTCGCAATACATTTACAAAAACAAATACATTTTAATAAAATATTTAGAGAAATTGAATGTTTTCTTTTGATTCACTAGTTAATGACATATACTTTTTGTTTTAGGACATGGAACATCTCGGCATAGACTCTATGAGTTTATTAATTTTTTCTTATGTAATCTCATTCCATGTGGTTTCAATAACTTTATATAGATCATCAGTGTTTTTAAAGGGTCGTTTGTGTTTTAAGGAAAGTTCAACTTGGTGCCATAAATTTTCAATCGGGTTGAGATCATGTGATTGAGCTGGCCATTTCATTACTTTAATTTGATTTACTTCAAACCATTCTTTAAAAATTTTAGAGGTGTGTTTGGGATTGCTGTCTTGTTGAAATGTCAATAAAAGATATTATCAGCACGAGGAACCACATTTTCCTTGAGAATATCACGATAAATATATTGATCCATAATGCCATTTATTCTGTAAATAGGTTCGACTCCACTAAAACCACAAAAACAACCCCATTGCATCGATTGCACCTTTTCCACCACTACACTTGATTGTTCCTCTTGTGGGAAACCATTTTCTTGTTTAGGATCTAGTCATTTACCCTGTAGGCCTACATACCTTTAAATTGTCATTAGGAACTTTCAAATCGTACTTTGATTCATCACTCCACAATACTCTATTCCAATCATTTATAGTCCAGTCTCTATGAGCATTTGCAAATTCAATTTTCAAATTTTCAATTCAATTCTAGCTTTTTGATTCTTCTGAGAAATTAAAGGTTTTTTTACTGCTCTAAAGCTCAAAAGTTGTAACCGTCTACAGACTGTTTTTTGAGAAACAGAAAGGTTCAGTTTTTAATGATATCATTAGCACAAACGAAAGGTTTTTTTTAACATGACAAATACTTTTTCTGTCGGTAAAACCACGTTTTGCGTGGTCTTCCACCTTCATGTTTCTAAAGGACTGCCTTTAACAAATCATTTGATTATTAGACATACAATTGGCTTGTTAATGGAGTATTTTGTTGCAATTTCTTTTTGCTTGACTCATTTTCTTTCTTATAATCATTTACATTACATTCTAGAAAAGCTAAATTATACTTGTTTCCTGCCATTATAAAATCTAAAACAGCATAAACACATGATCTCAAATTTATATTGTAATGATTGCAACACTCCATTTTCCTCTCTGGACAATAGTTAACAGTTTGTTAATTTTAGAGTAGTTGTAAAGAAGTTGCTTATGTTTTGGAAGCCACATTTTTTGCATTAAAATACCAATAGAAGCAAAAAAACAACTTTATTCATTTTTAAGGGTCATCCATAAAATATGTCACGTAGGGGGAGGGAAGGGGTTAGTGGTTTTGTTACTACTTGTAACTAAAGAGTTACTATGTTGTGACAAGGGGGCAGGAGGGGGTCAGAAATGATCAAAAATTGTGTGACGTAATTTATGAACGACCCCTTAGTAGTCTTATTCTGTACAAATCTTTTTTCTTATATTTAACAGCCCTCGGAATTAGGGTCGGCATTCAGCAATGCTGACCTAAAAGTGTTTGAGGTTGGGAAAAAGTTGCTGACCTCATTTCTATGTTTTATAGTAACCCATTTGTGTCAAATTTTTTTGCCATCCTCTAACAGTTTGAAGTCAGCAATATATTGCCGACCTCATTTTTCCTAATTCCAAGGGTTGATTTAATATTAACCATTTTTTTCATTTAAATCATTAAAAAAAAAAGATTGCTGTATTTGATGTAGAAAAAAAATTATTTTATTTGGTTGCTAATGCTTTGGAGGGCAGTGATTGTATGAATGTATATGTATATGTATATGTATATGTATATGTATATGTATATGTATATGTATATATATATATATATATATATATATATATATATATATATATATATATATATATATATATATATATATATATATATATATATATATATATATATATATATATATATATATATATATATAGTTTATTTGATAATATAGTATAGTTTAGATAAAAAGGAAATCTTAATTTTCAATGCCATTATTTTTATTTCATTTTGTCAAGTTTTTTCTTTGTTAAGATACGATATTTCAAGACATTTTAAATGTGAAGATAATACTATTAAGTGTAATGAAGTTGCATTAAAATTCATAAGAGAACACTCTCGGCTTCCTGTCACTTATTTGACATCTGCATTGTTTCATTCACACCAAAAGTAAGTATTTTTAAAAACTTACTTTTTTTATATAATAGAACAGGTGAGGTACCTTAGCAAAATAAAATTCAGATACAAAACAGTTAAATTGTGGGTAAGGTTAAGGTTAAGTGTAAATCTTAGATGGCAGTTTTCCTAAAGGTAGTACCACAATAAAAGTAATCAGTTCTGGTCTGCAAAACAGGTAAATGCTAGGATGGGCATCTTGGTTTAAAATGTTGCTTCATCTCCTCTATAATATTATATTTAAAAAAGTAAATGCTGTTATGGAAACCCATCTAAACCATGATTCATGAACATTTAACTTAAAAAAAAAACATTAATTTTAATTTTCTGATGAGCTTGGGTTGTTGACAACAATCTTTTTTTTTTAATTAACTCTACTATAAAATATTATCTAGTAAAATATTGTTTAAATTTATTATAATTTATTAATTTATGCCTAAAAATAAATAATTAAAATGATTCTAATTATAAAATTAATATAACCATTATTCTGTTTAATAATAATAACTTTTTATATTTTTTTATTTTTTATTTCTTTTTTTATATTTTTATTTATTTCTACTATTTCGTCTATTTGTTTAAAATAAAAAATAAAAATCAATTTAGAAAAAATAAAATTTGAGAGCTTTATGCTTTTTTGTTCAACAAATGTTTTTGAATGAATCAATTTTCTACTTTTTCATTCTCACGCTTAAATGGTATGATAAAGATACAATAGGTTCTAGGTTGTTTTTGGGGCAGTTTAAATTATATACAAGTTATTATTATGGTTGTCTCTGAATTAACAAGTTTCATAAACAATAAAAACTGATAATTAATATGTATTGATATTTTTTTATAGTTTGTTTATTTGTTATTTACTAGTTATGCATTATTGTAGTCTCATTAAATGAGATCTTTGTTTTATAGGGGAATGAGCTACCTTTGGGAGAAACCAGTACTTGTTGCCTTTGCTCATACTGATAACATTACACAAGGATCAAAATTTTTGGAGGTTTGATTTTAAGGCTATAACTAATTAATGCTTTTTTTTACAGGCAGCACACATTTTAAATGCTTTTTTTTTTGTATGGGTAACACACCATCTTACAAATGGCTGTTGTTATTAAGCAACCATTTTTTAAATTGTGGTATTTGTAATTTAGTCTTAGTTTAACCTTTCAATTGTTTTGCATTTGTTTTAAATGAAGCTATACATTTTTTGAAATTTTGAAGACTGAATGCAATAGACATATTTTTATGGTAAGATGTATAATGAATGGGTAAGATAAAAAAAAGTTATAAATGGATGGATATTACTTTATTCTCGCTCTTTTTGCTCAATATTCATAAAGTTTCTGAGACTTTCAAATGATACAATCATTAAAAACATCCATGATTAGTTTTAGAATGAGAAGTTTTAGTCAGCAATTAAATAAAAATATCTGAACATCAGTTACCTTTAAACCTATCTAAGTAGTATCTCAATCATTGTCAGCCATTAAATGTTATGAATAACAGTGGTATGAAAGTTTATTTCAAAAATCAATAATTAATGAATTTCAACATTTAAAGTTAATAAAGCATAAAAAAAATTTAAGAATTTTTTCGATTCTTCCTTCTTTTTTTTTTTAAATTGTTATGTTTGCTTTCTTTGTAGATGATTGTATAAAAAACATTTAAATAACGCTCAAGTTTTTTTTACAATGCAATTTGTTTTAAGTTTCATGAAGTTTAAGTTTCAAAATTGGAACCACTTATTTAGCACTTTTTAATAGTTTAGCAAAATTGAAGAGAGTTTTGGAGAACACTTTTTTAAGACTATGATGGAAATTTTGTCTGAAGCACAAACTGTAGAAGTGTTTAATTGAGAATTAACTTTAGCATCGGAAGCCAGAGTAACTTGAATGTTTAAGATTGGGTTAATCTGTTCAACTGGGACGACAGGAAGCATATGGCATTTAGATTTAAGAGTCAGTTAGAACTCTGCTCTATTCTAGGGAGAAGTAAAAAAATCAGAACCATGAATTAGAGATTAAATGTTAGACCTACTTTAGTTAATGACACTGGTAAAGACTTTCCAAAAGTCTCTCAAACCTAACATATAAAATAGAGTACCTGATTTAGTAAACTGAGAATAACAGAGCTTAACATATGACAGGAACTTTTTACATTGGAAGACATTTGTTTATTAGAGAGATGTTTTTGTAAAAAAGATTTTAAAAATGACTATGGTTTAATAAAGCAACTTCTCAAGATGGCAAAAAATGTGGAGTAGGATGAGGCTTGACTTAATGTTGAAAAGATTTCATCTCTTCAATTTTATATTAAGGAAAAAAAGCTTCAAAACTTTTATTCCAGAAGGAGTAAAAGCTTCCAAGATGTGCATTTATGCATTCACAATATGGATATTAACAAATATGCTTGCTATTTATTTAGATGCTGGCATACAACATCCCTACATATTTGTATAAATTGTAGCATTTATACAGTGCAGTATTTGTCAAAAGAGAAGATGATCAGATGGATGTGTGGTGTGACTCGACAAGAAAAGGAGGCATAATTTTAGATTAGAAAAAATATAGTATTGAACAATGTTTGTTTAAAAAGATTCAAGTAATTTAGGTATAAACATGTAGAGAGTTAGCAGCTTGATGATGATGATGATGATGATGATGATGATGATGATGATGATGATGATGATGATGATGATGATGATGATGATGATGATGATGATGATGATGATGATGATGATGATGATGATGATGATGAATGGTAATGATCATTATAATGATCATGATGATCATAATGATGTTTATATATGCATATAAATAGAAAATGTGGCATGAATTTTGAATTAGAAAAATATACTTTTGGATGTATAAATGTTAATGCAGCCCCATTCACAAACCTGGCCCTGGCTCTATTTTATCAGCCCCAACTCTGCTCAAATTTTAACCCCTAATGTCAATGTTTATGAAGTTTCATAAACTATCAATTTTTATAAAGGTTCATAAAATATCAGTGTTTAGAAGGTTCATAAACTGTCAATGTTTATGAAGGTTTATTAACTATTGATGTTTTTTGAAAGTTACATTGTTCATTGAACTTTTTAAATCAAAATTTAAAATGATCAATTACAATAATTAAAATAGTTAATTAAGCTCTTTAAACTCACTCAACTAGAGACCAATCTCGCTTACTTACACTTCATGCAATCTACAGACCAATCTCACTTTCTTTTGCTTCGTGCTAAGTTATAAGGTGTTTTGTGAAAAGTCATGCTGCACCTTACTTAGGCAGCTTTAATAGTTGTTCCCATTTCCAATTTCAAAATTCCAACTTGCATTCTACTTGAATAGTTTTTTCTAAATGAATTTTAAATAGATAAAATGATTGAGATGGATTTTTAAAACAGCTCTATCATTAGCTGCTTAAGTTGAAATATTTTTAAACTGATGGTAATGTAAATTAACAAATATTATCATTATTGTTGGAGTGAAATGAAGTGTTTGAGTGTAGATGAAGCCTATATATGATAATTGTAATCAACCTGTAAAACCTTTATGATAATAATAAATTATTATATTATTATATTAATTTATATTAAGAAAGTAATTTAAAAAAAAATTAGTTTTACCTTTTGCCGATTTAGAGTCTGACCTCTACAGTTTTGAATCAAATATAAAATAATTGAAATTTTTTTAATATTTAATTGTTATTTTTAATAACAAGCTTTGGTAACTAATAACTTTATTTTTTTGTTACCGTAATATGGGGTGACACTGGCTACCTGGGGTGACCTTGGGCCATTAGGCAAAAAAAGATTTAGAGAGCCATAAATCCTAAACTATTATAATTTTAGGTATTTTAATTGTGCATAGTGCAAAACTAAAATATAGGCATTTATTTAGTAGCTTTTCACAGTGCACAGAAAATTTTCTGCGGTACAGACATTTTTTCAAAATGGCCTTGTGCTTTCAAAATGACATGTGCTTTTTTTCACATTTTTGAAAACCAGCAAAATTCTAAGTACACAGGACTAAGGCGATTATAAGTATTGAAATTGTTGTTTCTACTTATTTAAACCTTACTTAACAAGGACAATTACTGAAATAAAAGCTATGGCCACTTTTTTTTTAGAATGATGGGGTGACTATGACCATGGGGAAAAGTTGTTTTTATCTCAATTGCATACAGGAAACTTTCATTTGTTATTTTTTCTATTAACATAAAATTAAACCTAATTAAATTAATTTTTTTTTCTTTTAACTCACAGAAAAAGTCACCATGCATAGGACATACAAGTCCAAACTAAAAAATTGACACTACAACTCATCAGCCACTGAGACTTTACATCTTGCATTAAAAGATCACAAGAAAGTACTCTAACAGGGCGAGAAACATGCAAGGCCAACATTCCTAAGTAAATTGAAAGAGAAATGTGAAAATGGACTTTCAACAAGTCGTAAACCAGGTAAGCAGACAATACTGTCTGATGTAGAAGAAGAAGTTATAGTACAACATTTGCTTGTTCTGTCTGACTGGGGATTTCCATTTGATGCCATCGATCTGCATATGACAGTCAAACGATACTTGGACCAAGAGGGCAGAAATGAATCAAAGTTTAAAAATAATTTATTTGGGGAGGATTGGGTTTACAGCTTCATGCGATGCCACAAAAGTTCTATAAAAAATATACTATGCCAAAACATTAGCGAGAAGAGAGCTAATATCAGTAAACCCACTATTGAACAATATTTCACACATTTGCAAGCAAGCATTGTTAATGTGCTACCTAACAATATCATCAATTATGATGAGACTAATTTAACTGATGACACTGTTAAAAGAAAATAGTTTTCAAGCAGGACATAAGATACCCTGATAGAATTTTAAATTCAACCAAAACTTTAACAAGCATAATGATGGCAGGAACTGCCTCTGTGAAGCATCTTTTTTGGCTATTAAAATTTTTATCAAATAACTGTTAATACCTACTGTTTTATGTGTTTTACTAATAATTCAAAAGGTTTCCTGTAAGTTCTACATATGTGCAAGTACATAAATGTTGTCTAATCCTGCACCAAATAATGCCCATCACTTAGGTATAACATAAATAGTTACAATACTTTGATTTATGATGGCCAAAGTTAACCCTCAAATATTAAGGTTTTCGCTTTAACTCTTGTATTTATATATTTAATACTAAACATTCTTATCTTTTAAATTATTAATTAAAGTTATCAAATTATATTTAGTTTCTGTTTTATTTTTTTAACATATTATTTTATTGTTTTAGAAATTATACGAGCTATCATTAGATATTTATACAGATATCAATGTGGCTGTTGTTGACGTAGATATCTATCCACATTGGTCATCTTTATTTGTACCTAAAGATTTTTATACTGCTGACCGTGGTAAGATATAAAAATTTAAAATTACTTGACAATTAAGTATTAAATAATTTGGGAGTTGTGCATAGTCATAATACACTTTAACTAGTTCAGTTTTAAAATTTAAAGATTTTTTTTTTTTGGAACCTTTAATTTATAGTGATCTTAAATTTATTTCAACCTTTAGTTTTTTCAAACTTTTAATTTATTTCAAATTTTATAAGTAAAAATACCTTGAATCGTAGTTTTAAAAGTCATTTTCAGTTTTTTCCATTTGCAAGTACCTTGCCCCAATTTCTGACTTTTACTTCTATTCGATGCTCAAACGTTTGTAATTTAATTTTTGATTTTAGATCAAGAAGATTTTGATGAGTTGTACCAATACCCAAGGTTTTGTATGATTGAATTAGGTAAGCATAACCGAGCAGCGTTTTATCCTCCACTTAAAATAAACGAACATGATCGCAGCACATTGCACACGTTAAAGCATGAAGACATGCAGGTTTCTCTAAAAAATTTTGTACAACTGTACCTAAAGAATAAAGAAGCTTTCTTAGTTGAAACACGACTCTTTTAAAAAAGTTTAAATTTAAAATATTAAATTCTGCACTTCTAACGGGAACAAAAAGCCACAACTAAGAACTGGCAATGAACCGTTTCAAATCATAGTTTAAATTTCGGTTTTAAAAAAAGATGATTTAAATAAGCTAAATTTGGTATCCTAGCTGCATCTCTTCTGCATTTTAGATAAATAATGTCGGCCATTCATACGAGTTGAACGTTCTCTCGCTTTTTATATTTAGTTCATAATTGTAAATAAATTATGTGTCTATTTATTCTATTTCTTAATGTTAATAATTGTAAGCATGATATATGATAATAATTTATATAAAATTTTATATTACAAATACAAAATACTATACAATACTTTTACATATGCATATAAAACAGATATACTGATTAAATTAAATTTAATGATAGGCGGCATTTTTGTCCTTTTTATTTTGTTTTGTCGATGTCGCGATATACTGTCGATGTACTTAGCTAAATTAAAATAGAATTTTATGTTTTTGATTTTTAAATTGATATTTAAATGGATTTAAAGATTTGGAAAAGATTTTACTAGATCTTTTATAAATGCATAAAAAAGTTATAGGGTTTTTTAATAATTTTTTTTCCTTTTTTTTTTTGTTATCCATGTTTAAATTAATGATATATTGAAAAAGAAAAAAAAGAAAATGAAATTAATAAAAACTACACTTTTTACTCTTTTTGAGAGTAAAAAGTTTTTTTTTTATTAATTTTTTATTAGTTTTTTTTTTCTAGTTTTTTTAAACTTTGAGTGAATTGAGCATAAGATAATAAAACTTGAAATTTTGATATATTTGGGTATTAAAATATACCCCAAGTTTTATGCAATTAAGAGTTACGCTACATGGTTTTCCTGGACATATATTTTACTTGGATAAGTTATGGTATATTTACTAATCCTATATTACCCACTACACATACACACCAATTGATTTAATGTAAGTTCACCACCAATTGTATTAACAAACTATGCTTATCAAATGCATTATAAAAAAATATATTTCAGAAAATACCAAAAAGAATCTAGCAGCACATAATATTACAAAATGTATTATTAAATTTAAAATTTATAAAGGAATACATCTGTTTTTATATATCTTTCACTTTCAATATTCGTGTTTTTCGACGTAACTTTCCGTTAGTTAAATCTTTCCTTTTGCAAAATTCTTTAGGCTTGGTCAGCTCTTTGTGAGACTAATCTTAATTTATAATTGAGTTTATAGTGGCCGTGGCGCAGTGGTTAGAGAGCTTGCTTTTTAAGCAGGAAATCCAGGTTCGAAACAAGCTTTGGACATATTTTCGCGTCACAGTAAAGAAGGAGGCGTGAACTTCCTGGTTAAATGGATTTCCGCGGTGCTCTGTGACAAGACCGTTAGGTCTTCTTGGGGCACTTAAATAACAAAAAGAAAAAAAAATTCGTCTGTTTCTTCAGATCTCAGTATCCTTTGATTTGCAAAAACTCTAATAGTCACAAGCTTGTCTTGGGTGTATACTTACGCATCAGTTTATCTATATGCCAAGAAATCAGCTTTTAATCCTCAGACCATTTGTTTATGTGCTTTCAACATAGCACCTCTACACTTTTTCTCTTTGTTTTTTATCGTTCTCTTTCTTCTCAAGATAACACTATTTTAAATATAGTTTCTGATCAAATCGACTATACATTTTTTTATATTTCTGTGCCAATATTGTTGTTATCAGTGACTTTAATACTTACGATATCGAATGGCTTGGTTCTAACACAATTGACTCTTCTGTCATTAAAATAACTTCTGCATTTCTCAATTTCTTACTCAGACTCATCACAGTTGTTGCTCAAAGTTGTTGCTATGATGAAAAATTGAAAAAGGAAATTGTCTATTCTATATCTTATAGCGGAATTATAAATAGAATTAATCATATATCTAGTTCTTATAAATCCAAAGGATCTAGCGAAGCATTGATCCCTTCAGGATCTAGCAGAGCATTGATCCCTTCAGGATCTAACGAAGCTAAAAATGTAAAACCAAAAGAAGAACCACAAAGTGATAAAGACTCTGTTAGATCTATATTATCAAGTATAGGAGAATTATTTACTGATAAAATATATGATAAAGATAATACTAAATCTGACTAAAATAAAGACAGTGCACTGTCTTTATCTTTAGATAGTGGTGGTGCAGTTGGATCAATTCTAAACAGGCTAAGATCTGGATAAATACTTTTACATTCTTCATTTTTACATTCTTTGTTATTATAGTCCCTATTATATTCCTTTTTTTTTTTATAAAGAAAACATTTTTTTTAAATCGTTTAACGATTCTTGCTTTACTAAATTTCTTTTATTTACCAAAATTAAATATAGATTTAGCGCAGTCAGGATCACTTTGTGATTTAACAGAGTCTTGATTACTTTGTGATCTATCACTTGTGATCTATCACTAGTGATAGATCACAAAGTAATCAAGACTCTGTTAAATCACAAAGTGATCCTGACTGCGCTAAATCTATATTTAATTTTGGTAAATAAAAGAAATTTAGTAAAGCAAGAATCGTTAAACGATTTAAAAAAAATGTTTTCTTTATAAAAAAAAAAAGGAATATAATAGGGACTATAATAACAAAGAATGTAAAAATGAAGAATGTAAAAGTATTTATCCAGATCTTAGCCTGTTTAGAATTGATCCAATAAAAGAAATTTAGCGAAGCAAGAATCGTTAAACGATTTAAAAAAAATGTTTTCTTTATAAAAAAAAAAGGAATATAATAGGGACTATAATAACAAAGAATATAAAAATGAAGAATGTAAAAGTATTTATCCAGATCTTAGCCTGTTTAGAATTGATCCAACTGCACCACCACTATCTATAGATCAGCGATATCGATTAGATAAGATAAGTGAAATTCAAAGTAAAACAGAATGTGAAAGAGAAAGAAGAGCTATGTTGAGTAAAATAGAGCTTCAAGAATAATTTTAGTTGTTGATAATTCATTACTAGCAACTACTATGACACTTGGAGCTGTTGGTATTGGTTTTTTAACAACAATAGTTGGAACACCAGTAGCTATTGCATGTGAAGGTGCAGCATTAGGTATTAGTTTAATGTCATTAATAGGATCTCAAGTAATTAAAAAATTAAATATAAAATCAGAAAAGCATGAAAAGATTAAAGTATTAGCTGATGCAAAATTAAATACTATAAGCGACCATATTTCTAAAGCTTTAAAAGATGGTAATATCGATGATGTAGAATTTACAATGATACTTTCAGAATATGAAAAGTTTCAAAAAATGATTGAAGAAATTAGAACAAAATCGAAAAATGAAATTGATGAACAAACTAAACAATCAGTATTCAACCAAGGCAAAGAGAAAGCTATGAAAGAGGTGATGGAATTGTTAGAGAATAGGTTTAATAAAAATCAAAATATTAGCAAAATAAATATTAATTAAATCATAATATATGTTCAAGTAAAACATATATTATGTTCAAGTAAAACATATATTATGTTCAAGTAAAACATATATTATGTTCAAGTAAAACATATATTATGTTCAAGTAAAACATTATAGATATCAAAGAGATTTAGCTATTCTTGATTATGCAAATAATTTAAAAAAATTATTGCATATATAAAATGCCATTTTTAAAAACTACAGATCCTGATAAAAGAGATCAAATGATTAAAGAAGTAATAGAATCAAGAAAAAAAAATATATCAGAATTCTTTGAATGAAAGATTAGGCACTGATGATTTACAGATTAACTTAACAAAAATGTACAAACCACTAATAGATAGTCAATCTGGAATAAAAGAAGGCTTATCTAAATTAGAAAATAAACCTGATCAATTAGCAATTACTTTTTGAAAGAACCCCAGCTTTGCTAAATCCTGAAGTTAATACATGAAACTAAAGCAATCATGCCACCTGAAGTGGTAAATAACATGACATTAGGAGCTATCGCAACAAAATATCTAAAGGTATATACTGCTAAAAATAGTAAAAAGAAATCAGATACTACATTCGGTATACATTACAATGAAGATAATGAAAACTTTTACATTGGTAAAAAACCGATAACAATTGAAGGTAATGATATAACTATTGAAAGTAAAAATTACATTAGAACTCCTGGTCTTTGGGAGTTAATAGTAAAATCTCATCCTGTTAAATATACTAATGATGATCGTAAAACGTATAAACAAATTTTAGAGCAAACAGATGCAATTCGTACTAAATTAAATCCTGATAAGCCAATATCATCTCGAAGTTATAAATACAAAGAAATAACAAAACCAATTTGGGAATAAATGGAAAATCTGGAAAAGGAGTAGTAATTCTTCCTAGTGATCCAGATGAACTAGTTAAAATGCTTCAATTACGCATATCTGCGTTAAAAGCAGGTAATACTGGAGCTAGAAATGAAGCTGTTGCAATTTGTGATGAGTTGTTACGTCAAGGCATAATTGATTCTGAATATTATAAAGAGGTACAAAAAATGATTAATGTTAGTGGAAGTGGAATATTTGACGATATTAGTAATGTATATAATTGAGCAAAATCTTCAGATTTAGTTAGAACATTATCTGCTATGAATAATAAGTTGTCTAGTAATTTAGGAAAATAGATAAATTCGGCAGGAAAATAAATACTTAGGCTTGAAAAGCTCAACAAAGTATAAATCTATTTAGATTCATTTCAGATCAAGATTAGCGAAGCATGAATCGTTATAATGAATTAAAAAAATAGTTACTAAATAAAAATGCTCATTATAAATAATAAGAGATATATTAAGAAACATGTTATTGGTGGAAGTGGACTATTTAGTTCTATAAGAAATATGTTTCAGAGACAAGAATTAAGGAATGCACTAACAGCATCTAGAGCTTTAGCTAGTAAAGCAGCTGCTAGTGATTTAGGAAAAACTGCAATAGATGCTGCAAAGTCTGCAGGAAAAGAACTTGCCATTTCTGCAATATCTACTGCTAAAGACGTCGTAGTAAATAAAGGAAAACAAGTAATACAAAAAGCAAATAAATCAACTAAAGAGCTCACACCTGAAAGTAAACAAATTCTTTTAAATTGAATTGAATCTGTAGCTAATAATCCATCTAGTTCCTATGAACCCGAAAAATCTAACGAAGTCAAAAACAGTGAAGTAAAAACAGATTTAAGTAGAATTATGTTTGGATCAGCAACTAAATCTAGTAACAATAAATCGAAAAAGAAAACTTCAAATGCAATAAAAATACAAGATTTAGCTAAAGATAGTAGAGTTAAAAAAGGTCAAAGTCTTAGAACAGTGTAAATCTGAAGAGATACGGAGAGATTAGCCAGATATATTATTATATCCCTTCTTGATCCAGATATATTATTAGAACCTGAATGGATCCAGATATATTATAAAAATAAAATTAAAAAAATTTAGACTCTTGAAAATGATTTAAAAAAATTATCTTGTTAATAAAAAAATGGCAACTTCTGACACATTAAATATTACAGAGAAACTAATAATTAATGAGAGTATTGAAAAATTTGAATACCATGAATATTCAAGTAAAATTACAAATTTTGATAATCCTGGTACTGAAATAAGTATCCCTATTAATCAGCAAGGCTTGTTTACACTTCCATCTGAAGCATACATTTTGATTGAAGGAAGACTTCTAAAAGCAGATGGAACATCTTATGCTAATGCAGATGCTGTAACACTTATAAACAATGGTCTTATGTACTTATTTGCTAGAGCAGAATATCAATTATCTGGTGAAACTTTAGAAATTATTAATAATTTAGTTACAGCAACTACAATGTTAGGATTGCTCAAATATCCTAATTACTTTCAAAATGTTCAAGGTATGAACCAATTATGGTATAAAGATTCATCAACTACTGCAGCAATTGCTACAAATTTAGGATTTGCAGCAAGACAATCTTATTTAATTCAAGAGCCAAATACAAAAGGAAAATTTTCCTTTACTGTTCCTCTAAAACATATTTTTGGATTTTGTGATACTTATGATAAAGTTGTTTATGGATTAACACATACACTTACTCTAATTAGAGAAAGTGATAATAATGCAATTTTTAGAGCTGCAGGTACAGCTGCTGGACAAGTCAATCTTACTAAAGTATCAATTTTTATGCCACATATTAAACCATCTCTTGAATATCAACTTAAGCTTAATAACGAAATTGTGTCAAAAGAAACACTTCCAATATCTTATATTGAAAGACGTAGTGAATTGATAATTGTTCCACAAACTACTGATTTTACTTGGACGCTGAATGTAACATCATCTAGTACGAGACCTAGATTTATTATTGTTGGATTCCAAACAAATAAAAACAACAATCAAGAACAAAATCCTGCAATATTTGATCATTGTGATTTGAAAAACATGTACGTAAAGCTTAATTCACGAAGTTATCCTGAAATTGTTAGTTATAATCTGTCATTCCCAGATCAACAATTTTCAAGAGCTTATAGAGATGCATCTCTATTTACTAAAAAGTTTTATGGAATGAATGAACTTATATCACAATGCAGGATAAATCCTCAATACTATAAAACTTTATATCCACTTTTTGTTTTTGATGTAAGTAAATAAGAAGCTGAATCAAAGCCATCAATAATAGATGTTCAATTTAAAGCAGATTTTAATACAGCTGTTCCAGCAAATACTATGGCATATGCAGTTATAATTTCTGATCGATTAGGGCAACTTATATCTGATGGAAGCAAATTACAATATATATATTAGATCTCTTTCTGAACTGAGTGTAGCATGAGCCCTTTCAAGACCTAGCGAAGTCTGGGTCTTTTAGGACCTGTGACGTCACGCAAGAAACTAAATTAGCACTAATTTGAAAACTGATTTTTAAATCTAAAAAATTGATTTAAAAATTTATTTCTTAATTATACAATTTATACACGCTATGCTTGAAAATAAACCATATATTTAGTTGAAAATATGGTTGAAAATTAAAATGGCCCAGAACTCTCCTTTTCTTACTACTACTAATACTTTATTTAGTGATTTTTAATCAATAAATTCAGAGAACGTCATAAAAGTTGAAGATTTATACAATTTTTTGTTTGCAGACTTTAAATTTATCAGGGTAATACTAATCCTATAATAAGTTTTGATTAAACTGTTTAAATTTTCACTGTAAAGATAAAAATCATTTTATAGAAATTTTTGTCGATCTTACTGGATTTTTTCTTTTTAAAAAATGACCTGTTCTGATGAAGGAATTAAAGTGTTCTAATTTAGGGAACCAGTTGCCTTGATTGGGACAAAATGTTAACTTTGTAAAAACAAATTTATTTCCAATAACAGCGTAATCAATTAAGTCAAATTATGGCTAAAAGTATGGTAGGGATGTCTGTTTGTATTAATCAAATCATAAATGATTTTATAGTTAAGCCAAATCTAAAAAATATATATAAATATGTATATATATATATATATATATATATATATATATATATATATATATATATATATATATATATACACATATTTATATATTTTAGATTTTTGTATAATTTTATTTTATTTGAGACCAGACATGACTTATACTTGAAATATTGATGATGTTGGGGATCCGTTAAATGTTTAAGGTTCTTGAGGCACCTATAATGATTAATAAAGCATATTTCAAATCATGAAAATTTACCAAGTTAAAATCATATTTTAACAGTAAAAAACCTAAAATAAAACAGTAGATTGTATAGTAGTAAAAGGAACATTTAAAAGTATTCAATTAAAAGTAGGCATGAATCAAAACCTGTAAATTTTTAAAGCCTTTTAATAAAAAGGCTCTTTTTTAACTAAGTCGGAGACTTGCTTTCATTCCTTGAATAAGTTCGAGCTAAGATTTTTGACGTTTTGAGTCTAATGGTTAAAAATCTAGCAGCAATTTTTCAAAAAGAAGTAGTTGCTCTTAAAAATTTAACAGTTAAAACCTCTTTAAAAACTTACATCTAGTTTAAATTAGTCATATATCCCTATGTAACGCGTTCAGAATTTAAGATTTTTGCCGTAATGCCATCTTGCGGTATGGCAAAAATCTTTAATTCTGGCTTCACTTTTTAGCTCAAGTCACGTATCTAGTTATATTTATACGTAATTGTTTTCATTTTTAGCTTTAACATGAATATTTATAACTCCCATTTTATAGCAGATATAGAGCACATGTTAACCAGGTATACAAAGTAAAAGCACCATGTCTGCTATTGCATTTTATTTAATTTGTCATAATTTGGTATCAAAGTTTTTTATCGCTCACTAAAGGCTAAACATTAGGTAATCGAAAGAAATATTTCAAAAAAATTTTAAGTTACGTATTACATTTCTGACCATTTATATGCACTGATCTCTATAATAGCTGGAAGGCGCATCGCTTCAGAAATTTGTGTAATTTTTAGAGCCAAAATATATTCGCCAGCACCATATTGAAATTAAAATATTATTAAAGTAGAAAACTTGTTGTTTTTCATCTTACATAGCTAGATTGTATGGAAAAACTTTTTGCAATTTATATCCAATAATAATTACTAGTAAAATAATTACAATAACCATTCTTTAAATTTTAAAGAATATCCATTGTAAATATTTTACTGCAATAGTAATAATTGGATAAAAAAACGACAAAAGAATTTTCCATACACTTTACAAAATATTTTTTCAAACAAAAAAAAAAGTCAAATTAACTACTTGAAGAAGCAGTTTGATATGCTCGGACAATTTTTTACTGAATCCAGTGATACTAAAAACTCGGTATGACCAAAATGTGAGCAAGGCGATGTTGCCGTGACGGCGGTAACACCACCTTAATTACGTTTAGTATGTGTATGTGAATAACTTCGATACAGTTATATGTAATTAACAATATATTATATTTATTTATATAAATTATTTACAAAAATACGTTGCTATACTTGCGAGCTATATGTTGATTTGTAACTTTCAAATTTTAAAAACTATATCTAACTAATAATAATGTTATTATTATTAGTTAGATAAATTTGTTTCTTAAAATAATATTTTATATGAAAATAAGATTTTATAATCATTTTTTTTTTGGAAAATTACAGAAAAGAAACTAGTGACAAAATATTTTTAGACAATTATAAAATTAACAAAAAAAAAAATAAATCAAAAAATAAAACTGTAAAAACAAAACAAAAAAACATACGAAAATATTAAAAAAAGTATAAAAATTTATTCCACTTTAAGGAACTTAAGTGTGATCGGTAGACTGTTCTTTTTGTCTCCAATACGCATCCATAAACTTGGTTATTTCAGTATGTTTTTTAGGGTGATGAAGACTGTAATCAGTAAGCAAAGGCTCTATCTACATAAACGATAAAAAGACATAAACGTGCACTAAAAAAAAAACTATTAGCCTATTATAAAAACTAGAGTATTAAAAATACACATACACAACAAAATTGTAGTAAATTCAGTTTATAACGATATTTAAGACAGATATCTTTGTGCATTAGAGGCGAACAAAAATAATAAAACTGAATATAACAGTAAAGTGAGGATCACTTTTTGTCTTATACAATCAATTAAACTCAATTTCATAAAAGCCAAATATTGTGCATACAAAAAAGTAACAAACACATCATTAACAAGAATGCCTTGCAGTCGGCAACCTAGACCAATCTGTAATACAAAAAAATATCATGTGATGCGCACGGTTCTTATTACTAATTGATCTGGTTTTAACGATAATCATAAACTCGACAATGAGCATCTTATTATATTATTAATTACTACGATCAATGCTGAATAAATAAATAATATAGGTACTAATAGCAATTATAGTTTTTTAATAATTTATTATGTATTAAAAAAAAAATAAAAAATCTTAACATGACGAGGACTAGTAAATCCTACGTAATAATAATTATTAAAGTTTTAATAGTTACACTCTCATTATTCCAATAGTAGGCCACTTTTACATTAAATTTTCTGTGAAATAATTTCAAAGCCCTGTCTTAATATTATCATTTTATTATATATAAGTATATAACATTAACTAGGTTCACCACACCAAATCTAAAATAATTTTAACATTATAAACTGTTTTCAAATTGTTATTTTATTAGTTTGTATTACTTAAGAAATGTAATATTTTAGAAATTAAAAAAAAATGATATTATGAAATAAAATTACTGAATTTAATTGAAACTACAGGTACTTATTTGGTAGAAGACCCAGGTCTTATAATTTTTAGGCGGGCTTACCGGGATTTTCCCGGTATCCCAGTGCGCCAGTACGCGCCTGGATAGATATATCAAATTACCTGATTGGGTCTTAGGTAGAATTTACAATAATGCTATTACAGTAGTTACCAACTATTGGCAATTGTCAATCTTATCTGTTTTCCAATGCTACACCAAGGATTGGTACAAGTCTTTCATTAACTGGTGGAGTCATAAGTTAGGAATCAGAGCAACTAGTAATAGTAATCAGAGCAACTTCTTACACACAAGAAATGTTAGCAAAGTATTTCAATACACTGCAAAGAGAACTCCACAAAGCAGGTATTAACAGAACCACTTCATATCAATTATGGAATTTTGATAAAACTAGTTCCTCTTATAATTATGGCTAGCAACACGCAATTTGTAGTCGTAGCGCTAATAAATGAAATTGTTTAACAACAGATTCACTATTATGACATAATATCAAAAAAAGTCAAAATGCATACCGAATCGATAAATAAAAAGTACCTAAAACTGTCAAACAAGTGATAACTTGACCTGAACCTCTCAACAAGATCATCACAAAATGTTTTTTTGTTTGTTTGTTATAATTGATTTTTTTTTTAATTGTTATTGTTGATTTCTTTTCTTAACTAAGTGTTCTTTTAATTCACCATTGACTTGCATATTTCATTCTCCACAAATGTAAGTGTAGAATGAAATAGTATTTTTTTAATTAAAACTTTTTGAAAAACTAAAATAATTTTAAATTGATATTTATATTTAAAAACAGTCTAAAACTTTCTGCGACTTAAAAAATTATAAAATCTTTTTTCTGTAAAACAAAAATGTTAAATTAATTATTAAATAAATTATTAAAACTTTCAACTATTTCATATCTTGGGACAAAGAGTTAAAAATGTCTAATGAATTTAAATGAATACTAAAAGAAAGAACTAAAAAAATTTAAACATACTAAAGGTTTTGTGCACCATCCAATTTCTTGAGCTTCAGTTTGAGGATAATCGAGTTTTTGAGGAGGAGTCTGATTAGTTTGTTTAATTATGTTTAAAAAACGACCTAAAGATAAAAAAGATGTTATGATTTAACTATAATTTTTTTTTACATCAAATTAATTTTAGAATAACCTTTTTTAACCTTTAAAAATAACCTTTAAAATCTAAAAATTTCCTACCAATAAATATATTTTTTAACCAAAGCAAACTTTTCTGCTACAAAATAAACTTTCCCACCACCACATAAACTTTCCCAAAACCAAATTAACTAACCCAACACCAAATTAACTTACTTGACACCAAATTAACTAACCCAACACCAAATTAACTTACTTGACACCAAATTAACTAACCCAACACCAAATTAACTTACCCATCACCAAATTAACTTACCACAACCAAATAAACTATTACTACCACTATTTAATCTAAGCAACAAACTAACCTTTCTAAAGTCACTATGGCAAAGCTATTTGTTTAAACTTTTTTTTTTAGAACCAAAAATGCCACTTTTTTAGGTCTTTAACAACAAATAGAAAACCACAATGAACATGGTTTAATATTTTTTCCTATTTTCTTTTTCTTTTAGTAAAAAAGCAATGACTGTTTAGATGTTGTGATATATGAAAAAACAATATGACAGTTTTTCAGTTGTGAATGTAATGCAGCACAACCTGTCATTTTTCTTGTTGTATTGTAGAACTATCTTTTTTTAGTCTAAAGCTAATGAAGTAAACACTGATAAAAAATACTTACCTGCCTTAATGCTAATGGTTGAATAAAAGCTCAAGATGGTGTCTTGATGAAAATACTCATTTTGGACAGAACTGTTTTCAGCAACCATTATGTAAAAGGTTTTCAAGACTTAAAATTTTAAAAGTAAATTGAAATAACAAAAACTTCTGTTGACCAGTCTTGCACCTTTTCTTAATCTTATTAGATTGGCTGACATAGATTTAAATCTTCTAGCATAAGATGATAAAAAGTGAAATTTCTTGATTTCACTTATGGGTTTAGAGCTATACCTTCATTATGAAATAAATTGTACCCTCATTTTGTAATAAAGGTATAACTCTAAAACTCAACTTAACAGCTTTGAGGTTAACTGGTAGTGAAGTTTCTTATCTCAGAGAAGTAGATTTCATCAACAGCTATAAAATATCACAGTACTTGCAGTGCCATGCTGAGCATAGATGGTGTTCCTGTTAGTGATTTTAATATGAATTGTCAAGATTACATAAGAAACTTTTGGTTACAACTTTGGATTGATTAGCAGAAATAAAGCAACCTCATACCTTAGAGTTCCAAAAATTATCAATCTTTGATTCAAATTAATAGTTTAAACTAAGTTTTGAAATCAGATTTGAATCTTCTGACTATTCGTTTATGCACTAAGGGAAGACGAGAAACATTCAGCCTTTTCAAATATTTCCCAGCATGCTTAAAATGACCACTTCAAATTTTTAGGCATGTTTTACCTGTTGATAAGCTCAGGGGAAACAATTATTGATCCATCTTTATGAGCGTTAGTACTTATTTCGAAGAAAATCCGTTTATTGATATAAAAGGTAATTTTTTTCTGTTTTTAAAAATCTGCAAAGAATCCCTTTTCCAATTTTTAAATCCTAAACTTTTGTGTTGTTTATTATTTAATGATATCTTGGGTTAAAAACCTTTGTGTTTAGATTATTTCAAAAAACTGATTTTGACTTTTAACAGAGTTTGTTTATATATAACACGTGTGGGGTACATTCGACCTACCTTGCTGGGGAACATTCGACCAGTGCTTGCAGTTAGCACGTTAATTTATTTTTCTTATCTTTTAGATGCCTCAAAAATATGTTATGAAAACAGATAGAAATAAAATAAATGAAAGTGAGGTAAAGGAAGCTATCATTATTATTTTCAATAATTAACGATCTGAATGACAAGTTGCTTTAATATTTAATATGAAAAGATCTACACTGAAGAGTAGAATAAAAATTTTTTGAAAACATTTAATAAACAAGATTATTTAAAAAGGTTTTCAAGCAATTTAGTCTCTGAAAACAATACTAACTATGAGGATAAATTACCAAATTATTCAAGTAAATATACAGCAAAGCAAGTGTTTACTTCTGATCAAGAAATTTTGTTAGAAAATTAAGTTAAAAAGTCTTCAGACATAAATTACAGGCTAACTTATAAAAGCATACACAAGCAGGCTTATGATTATGCAAAAAAGTTGACTAGTTGCAATTTTCCAACAGAATGGGAAAAACATGGTATAGCAGGTGAAGGCTGGCTGCGAGGTTTTATGGCACGGCATAAAACTTTGTCTCTTAGAAAACCTGAGAGTACAATCCTAAGTAGAAGCACAGGTTTTAACAAACATAAAATGGATCAATTTTTTGAAAATTTTAAATCAGTTTTAGAGCAATTTCATTTTCCCCTATCAAGAATTTATAATCTAGATGAAAGAAGTTGTAATTTGGATAGTTTTATGATAGGAGGTCCAACATCTAGTATTGCTCTTGGTAATAAAAGCAGATGGATAACCTCAGAATTGTTTTCATCTGTGCTTTAACACATAGTTACTCACACCAATTGTACCAATGAAAAACCAAAACTGCTTTTATTAGACAACCATGAATCTCATTGCTCACTAGAATCAATTCTCTTTTGTAAAGAGAACGGAGTATGTTTACTAAGTTTTCCTCCCCATACTACTCATCGCATACAGCCTCTTGATGTTGGCATTTTCTCACCATTCAAATCAAGTTGTGCAGTTGCCTATAATGACTGGCTTGTATCAAATTCAAGAAAAACAATTACTTTAAAATGTATTCCGCAACTAACAAAACTTGCGCTTCTGGCCTCCTTTACACCCTGTAATATAACTAAATCATTGGCTTTTACCGAAGATGATTTCATGCCTAGTTATGTCACAGATAGAACCCTAATGGGACAACCAAATCTAGGGGCAATTGGTAAACCATTACAAAATAATTTACCACTCTTATCTACCCATGAAACAGATTCCTCTTGCAACTACTTGAATAACCCCAACAATCAAAAACTGACTCCAAAACAGGTGTGGCCGTTGCCTAAAACTCTTCAAAGACAAATCAAATTAAAGAGAAAACCAGGGAAATCAACAAGTTACACTGACACTCCTGAAAAGGAAAAGATTGAAAAACTACATTTGGAAAAAAATATAAAAAAAGGAAAAGTTATCAATTCGAAAAAAAAAACGCTTTAAAAGAAAACTACTTAATAAGGCAGACCCAATTATTCACGAAATTTCTCGCCAAAAGTAAAGAATATTTAAAGATGATAATCTCTTTGAAGACATAAGCAATGAAGATATAGCATTAAACAAGAATTCTTATGATAATTTACCTATGGTAACAGATGTTGTGCATAATAGTGATAATCATATTGAAGATTTCGTGTTAGTAAAATTTCCGACTAAAAGTAATATAATTTATTATATCACCCAAGTAAAAGAATTTTCTACTATGATCACAATAAAATTTTTGAGAAGAAAATGAAAGAGTTTAACGTTCATTTTCCCTGATGTTGATGATATTTCTTTAGTGGAAACATCAGAAATTGTTACAATTTTAAAATCGACGACTCATGTGAAGACTGAAAGAACGGTATTGTTACTTTTATTTCAATATAATTTTGCAAATTTAATTGTAAAATAGCTATTACTATTTGTTTTTACATTATTTGTGGAAAGTTTTTATTTGTACAATAAAACATTTAAAATAAATAAAGCTTATAGATTTATTATTTTATTTATAATGATATGGTCGAATGTACCCCTCTAGGTGGTCGAAACTACCCCATCAGGGTACATTTGACCACTTTGAGGCTTACTTTTAAAACAGTGGTAGATTTAACAAAAGTCAATATTTTATGTACATTATCTTTCTAATTTGTTTGTTTATGCCCATCATTTGTAATGCTAAAAAAAATTAATTGTTACTTGCAAAAAATCATCTGTAAATTAATAAAAACCTGCTAAGTGGTCGAATGTTTCCCATCTTCCCCTACTTTACGCAATAAACTTTCTATTAATCATCATTTAGCACCACTTTACTCAATAAATTTTCTATTAATCATCATTTAGCACCACTTTAATCAATAAACATTCTACTTATCATCATCAGTCATTCACCTTTCAAAAACTACACTCTATTTATTGCACTTTTTTCCCTCGAAAGTGAAAAAAGTGCAATAAATTTGGGCTCAACACATTAAATAAGTTGTCTCAAGTGAGCGCTAAACTCAAAATATTTGCATTTCTTAATCTCTTTCTTATTAATAGTATTTATTAATAGTATTTTGTAAATCAATTATTAGAAAAACATGGTTACTAGCCTTCATTGCACGATATGTATCTTTTCTCTGACCCTAGCTTGTGCTCAACTTCTTCTTGATCTCCTTTAGGTGGCTCAGACCATTCCACAATTTCATAAACATTTTTTCTTGTACTTCTACAAAATCAAGGCTGACTGAAATTCTTTTCATAATTTTCTACGTGATGGTCCGTATACTAATGTCTTTTATCATGCTAAAAACTGCACCTCCTACATAACTTCTAAGAATCAAAAAGGCATAGTAAATTTTTTACTATTTGTCAATTTCAAGTCAAGCCACATTCTACCCCATAGTTTTCTTCTACTTGTACAACTACTATTTCTAACCGCTATTGTTTTTTTCTTTTTATCATTGCAAGATATTGATGAAATAAGGTGTTGCTAAAGTCCATTATTCTAGTATTTTATCTAAGAAGTTTAGGGTCTAGATACTTTCAGGAAATCTTTAACAGCCTCAGTAACAAAGGCAAGCCTATCATTCCATCTAATACATAAACATGATCTTATTATCTCTCCAAAGAATAAAAGCAAAAATATTTGTAAACAAATTTCTAATTATTTTATTATTTGCAAAGAACCATAAATGTTTTATAGAGTATTAGATAAAAAATGTGAAGCAAAATCTATTGCTATAAACATATCGAAAACTTTTGATATGTCTAGAGCAAAAGTATTTTTTTATATCAAAAATCCG